CCCATTTGAATATTTGAACCCACACTAAAATGACAATTCAGCTTGACTGATGACAAAACTAAACAGCTAAATGACATTCATGCGATATCCATAAGCAGTTAAGTGAGAAAAAAATTAAAACATCAACCTAGCAGTCTCTGCTTAAAACTTGATACCTGGTTCTAATTTGAGGTTAAAAAACATCATAAACATTTCTAATTCTACTAGTGTGCCAAGCTACAGGTACTACAAAATGATTTTATGTATGTAAACAAATTTTTTTATTCTTTAAACATATGTAATAAATTTTATTTTGACTGGAAAAGAAATTGTGATTCAACAGGTTTAAATAAAGACTGGTGTGGCTTGGGAGGCCTAAATTTCAATTAAAAAAAACAATTTCAGATAAATATACAAAGAACTTCAATGACAAAATGATTGCAATGTCTTTAAAAATAAGGCAAACAACTGGTTGACCAAAAATTCACAATCCCAATTTCTTATCAAATTTCAGTTCAACATGATAAAAACCACTGCTGAATTCATAAGCTATGTTCATAAAGAAAGAGCCAATTCACTTACAGAAATTCTTCTGTACTGTAATCATTGAAACTTTAAAAGCGTAAAACCAAATACCTGACTTCAGCATCCTGGGTACAGTCAACAACGAGAGCAGATGAAAAATCTAGTTGTTCCATTCTTGGATTTGACAGATACAAATTCTGAGCTGTACTGATCTCTATGATATTCTAGGTGTTAAACAAGGAACTATTTAAGAGGTACACAATTGTCTAATCTGCCTCCTTCAAGCCACTATAACGTCTGAGCAGCTCAGTCTCTATATGCTATATGCTATATGATCTTTTGATCATATAGCAAAACATACGCCAATGAAGGGTGTGGCCTGATGATTATCCCCAGCCTAGAAGACTCAACAACCATAATAAGGAAATGGGAGAACAACAGTCATCATACGTTCTGAAGTCGTCATACATTTCTTAATAATGACACATGACCATCATTTCCTTATTGAAATTTAGAAGACTAATATTAAGCAAGAAAAAAGCTGAAAGTTAGATGTTTATTTACTTAACTAAAAATATTTAGCTTCTTCTAAAAAGGAATTCTAAAGCATCAAAGTACAGTTTATGATAAATGATCATAGTCTGCATAATTTAACTGATAAATTACCAAGTCTAATAAATGTCTTTAATAAAAAGCCCTGGAAACAGAATACTCTACAAATTGAACAGAAAGCTAAAATAAGTTTCTTCTAAATGGTTTCTATTGAAAATTTTTAATTAACAAAAGCAAATATTTGCAAGAGTTCGAGAACCCAATTTTTTATAATAAAAGGAAATTCTGCAATATGCTACAACGTGGATGAACCTTGAGGACATTATGCTAAGTGAAATGAGCCAGTCACAAAAAGACAAATACTGTATGATTCCACTTATATGAGGTAGGTAGAGTAGTCAAAATCATAAAGGCAGAAAAGTATAACTGTGGTTGGTTACCAGGGGCTGGGGGGAGGAGAGAATGGGGAGTTATTGTTTCATAAGTATAGAGTTTCAGTTTTACAAGATGAAGAGAGTTATGGGGATGGACAGTGGTGATGACTGCACAACAATGTGAATGTATTTAATATCACTGAACTGTACACTTAAAACCAGTTAAGATGGTAAATTTTATGTTATGTGTACTTTACCACAATAAAAAAAAAGAAAAAAGGAAAAAAAGTTTTAAAGGATCTAAAATTTCAAACCCTTGAAGATGCTTTTTCTATTGTTTCTATTATTTCAGACTGCACTCTACTACATGAAGAATGTAGGTAGGGTGCAGGGCCTGTCTAAAATCTTGCAGGAAACATCATTCCAAATGAGTCAGAAGTACACTCAGGCTATGACATATTAAAGAGAATTAGGCGCCTTTATGTTTACTAGATGATCTCTCTTCATTGCATAATTCTAGTGCTTGTTTCCACTGATAAATATGTATATCATAACCAAATATATACTTTATAGCATAAACACTAAGCAAATAATTGAAAAGTATAAAACACCTCTATATAATCTCTTCCAAATGCATATGTTACGTGTTTTATTAATACAGATACACAAAAACACTCTGTTTTACACTTTAATTCCTAATGCATACCTAGCAACATGTCCCACATACTGCAGAGGATCATTCGTACCCACTATCTGACTTTGATGGGGACCTGAAACGTTTTTACTTTTTCAGAGGTTAAGGAACAGCAGCAGCCTAAACATCTAGAAAAGTTACATAGTCAGCAGACGTTTCTGCTTACTAGAGTTAAATCAATTTGTAATGAAATACTTTGTTTCCTTTGAATAAACACACACCAGAGAATTGCTATCAGGGTTCAAATCATGACCTGCTGGGCCAGTGACTGGGCGTTGGCTCAGTAAATGCTCAGCCTGTTTTCATTTGTGCATCAATTGATTGAAGACTCTCACATGCAATGTGGATCATAAGCTCCCAAGTAAGCAATTATTAATTAGGAATTAAGTTCAAAGCAACAAACATTTATTCAGCACAGAGTTTTTAAAGTTGGAAGAAGCCTTAGAGATCTTCCTATTTAATCCCATCATTTTACAGATGAAGAAACCACCACCCAGAGAGGCTAACTGGCCTCCCCAGCATCACAATATCACAAAACCTGAACCCAGCTCTTCTGACTCTGACTCCAACTGTTTACTCCTTTTTCACTGCTTAGAACTGATTTCAGAGACAGCATTATAATCTTGTATTTTGTCATCTTCACTAATGTCCCTAGGCTGAGCATATCATAAATACACTCTGTATCTGACTCTTAGACTTTTACACTTTTTAAAGCAGACAAAATCAGTTGTGTGTATTTCTTGTAGATCTTGGTTATTAAAATTATGAACAAAAACTCAATATAATTCTTTTGGTTCCTTGAAGTATACCACTAGTAAAAATATGGCCTATTTTTCTTTGTCTGCTAGATTTGTACCACTAAGTGATCAAAATAGAAAACCTGTAAAGGCCATAAAACAAGGTAAATGGGTATACTGCCTACAGTGGGATGGACTGGAGATTCCACCTTGCCAAGACAGAGATTTGTTGCTAGCACATGTGCTTAATTTAAGTCATATTCTTGAGCTCCAGGAGTATGTGAAATATAAATACTCACTGGATGAAGGTGATGGAAAAGGATGGGTTCCATTGCATGAAGCTGTTGTTCAACCCATTCAACAAATACTGGAAATTGTTCTGGATGGTAAGAGAACACAAAACCCCTTTGATCAAACCGAATCAAGAATGTAGAAGGTACGAGTGTTCCCAATGAACATAACAAGCAAAAAGAAAAAGCTAACTAAAAGATTATTTGGAATTTGGAAAAGGCAGTATCCATGTTTTAAACACAGCATATAAAAACTAGCACATTTTGTGAGGTTCAGGGTTCACCCTTTGCATACTTCTAGGAATGTGACACAGGTTGGCAGGAAGGTGTGGTTTTCACCTAAAAGTGATAAAAGTTTGTATGTATCATGAATTGATTTGAATACAAAGCTTTTTGCTTTTGAAAATCAGTTTTTAATTTTTCATCTTGAACATCTCTTGATATGTTTCCAAATGATTATTACATAGACAAGTAGTATTTACAACATTCATCCTTATATTAATTTTTCATAATGAAATCATTAAAAATTATTGCTGTAAATCAAAAATGAAAGCTACATAGTGAGTTGACCATCAGGCAAATATCACCAGCCTACTTTAAAAACCAACTATTGATACACTAATTTACTTTCAAAACATTATATCAAGTAACTGTTTTCTTCAAAATATTAATGCTTACTGAAACACTAAAATGTTACCTAATTCTGACCTAGCTTTCCTACAAAGAGAATAATGGAATCAGAATTACTTTTTGTCTGCTTACAAAAACTTATCTGCATAAACTAGTTTCGGGCCCGCCCCGTGGCTTAGCGGTTAAGTGCGCGCGCTCCGCTGCTTGCAGCCCGGGTTCAGAACCTGGGCGCGCACTGAAGCACTGCTTCTCCAGCCATGCTGAGGCCATGTCCCACGTACAGCAACTAGAAGGATGTGCAGCTATGACATACAACTATCTACTGGGGCTTTGGGGGAAAATAAATAAATAAATAAAATTATAAAAAAATAAAAATAAAAAATAAACTAGTTTCACCATCTTTCAATAAGATTTTAAAAGTAATATTTCCTCCTTCCTCTAGCCCAGAAACAGATGAGTAATTATGAGTTGTTGTAGACTTCCTGGAGTTCCCATGTAACTTTTTAGCACTACTAGTACACCAGCATTTCTACTTATTCCTGGCTTTCCCAGGATGGGAGGCAGAGAGAGATCTAGCAGGGCCCAGATCTTTCTACTATAAAATCACTAAAAGCATAAGCTTCTAATTTCTGTCTAAAAACAAATCATTCCTAAATGCAGTATCTAGTTCCAAGTATCTTAGCTACTTAAGATTTAGGTAGAAGCAGCCATTTAATTGAATTTATTAAAAGTGGCAAATAAATTGAAAATACTTACATTTTAAACTTTTAAAGGAAAAGCGATTTAGAGAAAATTTTAAAGTCTTACATCAATATAAGAAAACGTTGCTAATACCCAGTTACCCACATTCAATCTAACACACAGTAGCCAGTAGACACAATTTTAAAAATCTCTTTAAAAATTATAATCAGTTTGTGGTAAATGTCAATTAAGAATTTAATTCTTATTAACTAAGATGCAATTTTCTAGCAGCTGAAGACTTTCTGCTCTTAAGAACTTTTATTAGTAAAGTAAAAAAATTTTTCTAAAAAGCACCAGCAGCAGTATGGTGTACTAGCAGTTAAGTCTAGACTTCTGACTGAGTTTGAACCATGAACTAGCTATATAATCTAGGTTAAATTAACTTCTCTATACATTAATTTCATCATCTGTAAAATGAATGATAATATGTGCCCACTTTATAGAGCTGTTTTAAGCATTAAATAGACAAAATACTTACCGATGAAAGGCTTCTCGCCGATACTTTTTCAAGGCATGCTTATCCATGTTGGCAGGCATATCTGCTGCATTCTGTAATCGATCACTCCAGGAGGTCATTTTATTTTAATTGTATGCTGAATTCTAGAAAAGAAAATGAGTAATTTAGTAGCTTAATACTGGTATCTGTATACTGATATCTGATTTTTTTTAAAACTTAGAAAAACTCTAGCTTGCAATTGCCTACTATAATTATCTACTTAAACATATTGAAGGCTGGCCTGTGGCTTAGCGGTTAAGCGCCTGTGCTCCACTACTGGCAGCCCGGGTTCGGATCCTGGGCGCGCACCGATGCACCGCTTCTCCGGCCATGCTGAGGCCGCATCCCACATACAGCAACTAGAAGGATGTGCAACTATGACATACAACTATCTACTGGGGCTTTGGGGAAAAAAAAAAAGGAGGAGGATTGGCAATAGATGTTAGCTCAGAGCCGGTCTTCCTCAGCAAAAAGAGGAGGATTAGCATGGATGTTAGCTCAGGGCTGATCTTCCTCACACACACACAAAAAAAAACCATACTGAATATGGTAAATATAAAAATATACCGACACTTCTAAACTATGTAAATTTAGGAAAGTAATTTCATATGATAATTTCTATCCATAAAGATCACATATATCCCTTCCAAATAATTAAGCATGACTGCCAATAATAACTAACTTTAATCACAGATTCTAGAAAAGGGACTAAGACCACAGATTTGTGAAAATATATAATTTCCAGTATATATATGTTTCAAAATGTGTGAAGTAAGCAACTTTTTAATTCTGATCAACATACTAAGCTCAATCAATGGTGGTACAAATATAAGTAATGAATGTTTTATTTCTAATTACATCATGCTTTTATATTTTTCTATAAACTTTCAGCTAGTATTAAAGGCTAGGGACCAGAAGATTATGAAATAAACTAAAACATTTCATCTCATTAGAATAAACATCTAGGGCCGGCCTGTGGCTTAGTGGTTAAGTGCGCGCGCTCTGCTACTGGCAGCCCGGGGTTTGCATCCCAGGCGCACACCGACGCACCGCTTCTCCGGCCATGCTGAGGCCGCATCCCACAGACAGCAACTAGAAGGATGTGCAACTATGACATACAACTATCTACTGGGGCTTTGGGGGAAAAAAAAAACGAGGAGGACTGGCAATAGATGTTAGCTGAAGAGCCGGTCTTCCTCAGCAAAAAGAGGAGGATTAGCATGGATGTTAGCTCAGGGCTGATCTTCCTCACAAAAAAAAAAAAAAAAAAATCTAAAATGAGGCAAGCAGCTAAGTGTCTTTAAGTACTTTAACACTAGGTACTATTCTAGGTTTCACTTCTGTTTTTGAAATTTTCATCTGTAAATAGTTTTAAATAAGGATGAAAAATATCCCTTTAGAGTTAACAAGCTTATGAACATTTTATTAAAATACCAATGTTTGTGAAAACATCTGCAGCCTAACTTATTTCCAATTTTGAAAATACTAACATCATTTATGACATTAAGTCAATTTTTAAATAAACCATCTCTGTAGCTTTTTAAAATAATTTATTGAGGTGAAATTCATATAAGAAAATGAACAATTTTAAAGTGATTAAGTCAATGGCATTTAGTACATTCATAACGTTATGCAATCACCACCTCTATCTAGTTCCAAAATATTTCCATCACTCCAAACTTAAACCCCTACCCATTAAGCAGTTTCTTCCCATTACCACCATCCCCCAGCCCCTGACATCCACCAATCTGGGTTCTGTCTCTATGGATTTATCTATTCTGGGTATTTCATATAAATAGAATCATACAATATGTGACCTGTTGCGTCTTGCTTCTTTAGCTTAGCATAATGTTTTCGAGTTTCATCCACGTTGTATCATGTTTCAGATACTTCATTCCTTTTTATGGCTGAATAATACATATTCCACTGTATGTGCAGACCATAATTTGTTTATCCATTCATCCGTTGATGGACATCTGGACTATTTCCACCTTTTGGCTATTGTGAGTCGTGCTTCTATGAACATGTATGTATAACGCATTTGCTTGAGTACTAGTTTTTAATTCTTTTGGACATATGCTTAGGTCTGTAATGTTTTTGAAGTAATCAAGATTTCCAGACATTGTTTACAGAACAAAAGCACTGGTATTTGCAAAAGATTCTAGTTAAAATCTTATTAAAATACAAAATTAACTTGAGAGAAGTTATTTGCTAGATTATATAACTGAATCTAGATATACTATGAGGGGTTTTTTTATTTTAAAAAATCCTGTAGCGAATCTAGACTATTTTGTGAACCAAAAAAGGGAGAAATTTTGAAAGCAAAGAATTATAATGGAACTTCAATGATTGTTTTTTGGTGGGGGTTGGGAGAACCATAACTATATCTTACATAAGTTTAAATAAGACTTGGAAGTGAAATTTGTATTCTGTGATGAATTAAGAGAAATCAGAATAGTCACACCATTAAAGAAAGACTTCAACTTGAGTTCTACTGCAATTATAGTTCATATGGTAAAGCATAGGAAATAAAACTCATGTATTTATCGTTACGGCCTTAGGTACATTCCAACTTTTAAAATTAAGTCTCAAACAGTATTCATATGAGTCTACCTCTTACTTTTTATTTTTTAAAAATTAATGAGATCTGCAAAGGGTGAACCCTCTAATCTTCATTAGCATATTGATTAGCACACATGTGGGTGAGGAAACCATCTGAGGCCTGAAAAAAAGCCAGCCAAAGAGTTAGAGGGAACAATCTCTGAAGCTCACATAGGCTAGGAAAAGTTCCTGGCCCCAATCAGCCAAGGTGGAAAACCTCATCATTTATACCATATTAAGTAGAGTAGTTGGAAGGGGTTTGTGTCTGTAGTTGGGCAAAATTATCTAGACTAAAAACTGCTCTGGTCGTGCCTAGCAAAGCAAGACCTGAAAGGATCAAACTGCTTCCAAGTAACTTAAACATGTCAAAAACCAAAGCTCAAGAATATCCATAGGAATAAAAATATCCAGCACCCAACAAGGTAAAATTTATAATAAAAAATGAGCAGCATTCAAAGACACAGGAAAATCTAATACATAATGAGGAGAAAAATCAATTGAAACAAACCCATAAATCAGACAGATGATTGAATTAGTACTCAAAAATGTCATTACAATGTAACAAAATTCAATATATAATACATAATTCAATTCATATAATACATAATTCAAATAATATATCATTCAATATGTAATTTATAATTGAACATATTTCATATATTCAAAAAACTAGAAGACTGAAAATGTTAAGTGCAGGAATGAAAGATAAAAAAAGAGACCCAAATCAAACATTTAGAAATGACAACTACAATATATGAAATGAAAAATACGCTGAATAGGCTCAAAGGCAGATTAGACATTAGAGAAAACATTAGTGAATTGAAGACATAGCAACAGAAACTATCCAAAGTAAAACAGACAAAAGACTAAAAAGATTAACAAGGGCATCAGAGAGCTGTGCAACAGTTTCAAGCAGCTTAATATATGTGTAATTGGAGTTCACAAATGAAAAGAGAAAGGGAGACGACAGAAAAAAATATTTAAAGAAATAGTGGGTGAAAATTTTCCAAATTTAATGGAAACTATAAATCCACAGATCCAAGAAAATTTAGCCAACCCTAAGCACAAGAAAACTACACCAAGGGACATCAAAATTAAATTCCTTAAAAAGAATGATAAAAAGAAAATATGAAAAAGCAGCTAGAGAGAAAAGACATTATATATAAGAAAAAAGCAGATTTCTCATCTGAAGCAGAAAAGCCAGAGGAAAGTGGAGAAACATCTTTCAAGTAATGAAAGAAAAGAACTGTCAACCTAGAATTCTTAATCTCACAAAAATATCTTTCAGAAATAAAGATGAAATAAAGACTTTTCAGACATACCAAAAGCTGAAAGAATTCATCACCAGCAAACTAAAAGAAATTTTAAAGGAAGTCTTCAGGCACGAGGAAAACAATACTGGATGGAAATCAATCTACATAAAGGAATGGATAAATATAAAAGGTTTTTTTTTCTATTAGTAAATCTTTTTAAAAGATAACCATTTGAAGCAAAAGTAATAACGTATTGTGAGGTTTATAACATATGTAGAAGATGTATGCGGGCCGGGCCAGCAGTGCAGCCGTTAAGCGCGCGCACTCTGCTTCCGCGGCACGGGGTTCACAGGTTCGGATCCTGGGTGCGCACTGACACACTGCTTGTCAAGCCATGCTGTGGTGGCGTCCAATATAAAGTACAGGAAGATGGGCACAGATGTTAGCCCAGGGCCAATGTTCCTCAGCAAAAAAAGAGGTGGATTCGTATCAGATGTTAGCTCAGGGCTGATCTTCCTCACAAAAATTTTTAAAAAGAGGAAGTAAAATGTATAACAGCTATAGCCTAACATGTAGGTAGTATCCCTACCTATTGGGCTATACTATTGGAAGTATACTATTGGAAGATTCTTATAGTATAGATGAAGTAGTGTAGGATCACTTGAAAGTAGACTGTGATAAAGTATAGATGCATACTCTTTGCCCTAAAGCAATTACCAAAATAACACAGAAAAGTGAGAGGTAATAAGGTAACAAAAGAGATAAAATGGAAACAAAAAATAATCAACCCAAAATAAGAGATAAAAAGAGAAAAAGAAAAAAAAGAATAATGAAATAAACAGGAAAATATAGCAAGGTGGTAGAATTTTACTAACCACATAAAAAATAACATTAAATTTAAAATATCTAAACACTCCAATCAAAAAGAAGCTGGAGTGGTTATATTAATACTAGACAAAGTATATTTCACATCAAAGAATATTATCAGGGATAAGGAGGCACATTTCTTAATGATAAACAGGTCAATTTATCAAGAGAACATAATCATAAATGCTTATGCACATCTAATAAAAGAGTTTCAAAACAGATGAACCAAAAACTGACAGAACTGCAAGGAGAAAGTGACAATCCACAATTATAGCTGGAGATTTCAATACTCTCTCAATAACTGATAGAGAACAAGTGGACAGAGTATCAGTTAAAGACAGAAAAGAACTAACACTATCAACCAACTTGACCTAATTGGCATTT